AAAACGGGCGGCTAAGATGAAGTGCTAGCGTTAACGTCAGATATAAAAGAATGAAAAAGAAGGAAATGTATACGTACTGTGTTATATATAACGATGAAAATTTGACTTAGGAAACGGAGATATTAGGCGGAGTATCAGAATAGAACCAAAACATCAAATTATGCCATCAAGACTCGCTTCATCGCCTCTCTAGAGTGGGACAATGTATTATATTCAGACTAAGGACAGTACACAACAGACTTCGTCAGCATATGTTCAAAATTTTCGGTGTAGGAATTTCGGTATTAGAATTACATTATTGTGAGACTGGTTTAGTTTGTTTGTGTAGAGATATTATTTAACGACTAAGAAATTAAAACATCAAAAATTGATTTTGAAATCAAATCCTCTAAACTCCTGCTGGTGCTTCTTCTTCTTCTTCTTCTTCTTCTTTTTCCTCTTCTTCTTCTTCTTCTTCTTCTTCTTCTTCTTCTTCTTCTTCTTCTTCTTCTTCTTCTTCTTCTTCTTCTTCTTCTTCTTCTTCTTCTTCTTCTCTTCTTCTTCTTCCTCTTCTTCTTTTTCTTCTTCTTCTTCCTCCTCCTCGGCGCACGGTTTCGTATGCTCAGGTTAGACCACCAGGTGGGCTGCCAGTATGAATTCACATGTCAGTTGCAAGTCCTTCGTGGTTCCCTGTAGCTTGCTCTGCATACTTTGCTTTTGAGGCCAGGTTTCTGTTCGTAATTGTCCTCAGATACGCAGAGCTACCGTCAGTAGTTTTGGGATAGATCCCTTCCAGACTCAGAATTCGGGGCTTTTCCTGTCTGGCAGTAGTCCATAGAAGCAGCTTCGTGTTGGTGTAGGCAGGTATCTAAGCATACACATTAACCGTAATTTGCGTTGATGTCCGTTTCCATATCTGCATGTCCGATCCATTCAGGCCGACGTGTCCGTCTTCGGTGGGGGGCGTTATAGAGTCGCGCTATGCATGTCCTGGTTTGTCCAAACACTGCCTGCTATATATATCAGAGGTCATGGGAGTTTCCTTCTCTGCCTTTGACTATCCTGGGTGTGACCTTGGTGGGGATTGTGACGTAGCGACTTGAGGCTGACGGGAAAGATGATGATACCCGGTAAAACCGAAAAAAAAAAAAAAAATCATCATTTGCGCCGCTGGGAAAATATCACACTGCATGATCATGACAAGTGACAGGTAGTTTAGATCTGTCGCATCTGGCTTTCGTTATGAAGATATCATCTGACTTTATCTGATTTGATATTTATGCACTATTTTTGGTCACACACTGTTGGCCGCTGACGCAATTCGGTGAAATAGCATACCCTCGAAGAATGCGCAAAAGAAACGGTTTAAGTTCTCTTATGGTTATGATCAAGATTTCCCGACACTGATGGTCAGTGCCTGCTTTAACCTCGCACTATCATGACAGTTGGTGTCGAGTCTGTGCTCTGACCTAACACTCTTATGACAGATTGTCAGTGTCGGCTTTAATCTCGCACTGACATGACAGTTGGTGTCGAGTCTGTGCTCTGACCTAACACTCTTATGACAGATTGTCAGTGCCTGCTTTAACTCCACACTATCATGACAGTTGGTGTCGAGTCTTTGCTCTGATCGCATATTCTGATGGCAATAACTGCGGTGCCCTTGCCCTCGCTGTCTCAGTTGGTGAAATTTTCTGTGTAAGATCTGATTAGATGACATCAATTTCTTTGATTAACATCATTGCACAGATATTATTGTGTGCTTTCCCTTCTTCCACCCCCCCCCCCCCTTTTTTTCCGTCTTTCTGTCTGTGTTCCCGTGTCTGTCTCTTTTTTTTTTTTTTGTCTCTTATCTTTCTCCCTTCTACGTGTCTCTCTCCGCATTTTTGTTTGCTCTTTTCTCTCTCCCTTCTCTCCCCTCCCTCTTTCTCTGTCTGTTTTCCCGTGTCTGTCTCTCTTCCCCTTATTTTTCTTCCTCTTGTCTCTCTTCCTTATGTGTGTCTCTCTTCGCATTTTTGTTTCCTCTTCTCTCTCTCTCTCTCTCTCTCTCTCTCTCTCTCTCTCTCTCTCTCTCTCTCTCTCTCATCTCCCCTCCCTCTTTCTCTATCTGTGTTTCCATGTCTGTCTGTCTTCCCTCTTTTTTTCATCCTCTTGTCTCTTTCCCTACTGTCTCTCTCCGTATTTTTTGTTTCCTTTTTTCTCTCTACCTTCTCCCCCCCCCCTTCTTTTTCTGTCTGTGTTCCAGTGTCTGTCGTCCCTGTTTCTTTCTGTCTTGTCTTTCCCTCCTATTTCTCTGCATCTCTCTCCCTCCCCTCTCTCACATATAACACTTCCAGAAGTAACTAGACCAGCAACAAGTGGAGTGAAATGTTGAACTCAGTGACAGGCCATTGTCAAGTTCTCACGGCACATTTCTCTGCATAGTTACTGCTAATGAACTAAGAATGGCGATCTCCAACGTCTCCGTGAGTCAGTCAGAGGACACAGTGATGGAGAGGCCCGGCCCCAGACTCCAGACACTACTGTCTAGTTTGATCGACTTCAACATGATGGGCAGTGAGGGGTGTTACACTACAGATTGACAGGAAACTGTCATTAGCCGGGAATTTGCCGTATTCACGATTTGTCATTACAGCAGTAGTGTATGAAAAGGGAGCCAAGTGTGAGGTGCTAAAGGGGAATAGTTAAAAGTTAGTTGTCTCTCTTTTACAGGACGTTGCAGAACCAGCCCCAGCATTTGTTGGCTGTTGTGGGTTTTCTATGCACATTTTACATTCAGTAGTTTGCCATTTTCTGTGGCTTAGTCGCTGCGAACGCTTCATAATGCCTGAATGCCGGATTCGATCCCAGCTGCGAGCCATGCGCCTTGCAGTGGTATCAAGAAAGCCGACCGTCCAGTAGCAATAGCAAACTAGGTTAGTTGCGTATCCTTTACATGACGTTGCAGAACCAACCCCAACAGCACCTGGCTGTTGTGTGGTTTTTCTAGGCAAATTTACGTCCAGTAGTTTGCCAACGCAAGGCGCATTGTCCGCAGCTGGGATTGAACCCGGAATCCCGGCATTACGAAGCGTTCGCATCGACTTAGACACAGAGCCGACAGTAGCAAATTACTGGACGTAAATTTGCCCAGAAAAACCAGTTTCTGCAACGTCCTGAAAAGGATACGCAACTAACCTAGTTTGCCATTTAGCGGCGTCCTTAGCTTGGGCGTTGCGAGTCCGACTCGTAATTCCAACGCACTGCGATCAAAACGCACTGCTGGCTGCGTGGATTTTTATCATAGTATGGGGCGTCGCAGCTCGACCCAACCTAAAATGGGTACAGTGGGTAAAATGTTTATCCTGGGGAAGTAAAGACGGCCGGCGTATTGATGACCACATTACCTACCTAGTGCCGATTGGTCTGTAAAAATATGGATGCTCTTCCCATATGCCCGTTGCGACTAAAAGCGTGAAAAGGGATCTTTACTGTTTTTTTTTAAAATTATTATTTGTTATTATTTTTCAAAACACATTTTTTAATTACTAATTTTGCCATTCATTCTGAACGGTCAGCGATTTATACCACTGTCGCAACCAGTTTCAGACAAATCGTCTGCATTTGGTATCGAACCCGCCAACCCCCGGCATTACGAAGCGTGTCCGCAACGCCTAAACCACAGACGCCGACAATTGTGAATACTAACGTGTAATACACTAAGCAACGCATGGTAGTTCGATCAGTTACTACACTCCATACTTCACGTCTCATCCTCCTCCTCCTTATCTTTTTCATCTTCTTCTGCTACTCGTTCTGCTGCTCGTTCTGCTGCTTCCTGCTCCTCATTGTCTTCTTAACTTCCTCCTCTGCTTATTTGTTTTTGCTATTCTTTTTACCTCCTCCTCATTCTTCTTCCTCGTGTAGTCTTTTTTCTTCTCCATTTCCTTATTTCTTGAAAGGTATCTCATGACAGCAATGAATAATGCAAACACAGTTTAGTGAACATTTTAACAAAATAGACAAATTATACACACATGCATGCAAGTTCTGGTTGTTCGTTCACCTCTGAACTTTAGTCTTGTTCTAGAACCTGAGTGTTGCATGCACATCCGTTTTACAGATCCAACTTGTATGCAAAAAATTGTTGGTTCCTTGCCTCTCCAGCAGACGCACTCTTGACTTTGAAGGAAGCCCCCAGCTAGTCGACTCTTACCACATGCTTGTTGGGAAGGCAGTGGGTGTGTTCTTGTTTTCCTCCAGTAATGGGGCCCGGAACCCACACAGGGAGAGTATATGACAAGGAATCCCCCAGTCCCGCAACATGACAAAATGTGGTTAAAAAGAGGACAGTAGATTCAACAAAAAGGGAAACACACAGTACGGAGATACTTTTTGGTCAGACTGGTTTTTAATCCATAAATAAATGCATGTGTTATCATATTAGTACGATTTTTAACTGTAGATAAAGAAACTGCTGATGAAAACAACAGTGCCCTTGACTTTTTATTTTATAAATAGTTTTTTTTTTTTTTAATATTGTTTTTTTTTTAAATTAATTTATAATTAAACTTCAAAAATAATATTACAGATAATTACAAATACAAATGTACTCAATTACAAAATTGCCTGACCCCCCCCCCCCCCCTCCCCCCCCCCCCCAATACAAATGCACTTAATTACAAAATTGCCTGAAACACACACACACACACCCCCCCCCCCTTTCCCAATACAAATGCACTTAATTACAAAATTGCTTGAAGTGCTCCTTGAAACCCCCCCCCCCCCCTCCCCAGTTAGAGATCACTGGTTTAGACAAAGACAGTTTGAGGCAAACCATACACAAACTGATGGAAGTCAAGGGGAAACTGCCACTGCACTGAATTTTTTCTTAGTAAATCATGCACTTAAACAAATTGTATTCACAACTGTGAAGAGGCATGAAGGCCTGATGCCACTGGCAAGGCACTTGATGATGATAATGATGATGAGACACTTAAAGTCTGTATGGGAATAAATCACCATTATTGAATATTTGTCAGGTACTACCAAATTCAGACTGTTCTCAAGACGCCCCCAAAATCACCATGTCGCATTGAAATCAGCGACAACAAGGTGAACGCTCAAAGAGGTAGGTGCATCTGGTTTTGATTGTGAAAATTTCATTATCAGAATAATTTTTCTTCATGCTTTGTCATTATTGCAAAACCTACAGCTCAACCGCTTTAGTCAGAGTGCATCTGCCTGAGAGGCATGGAACCAGCAGTCTACATGCAGTTAAGTCAGATCTGTTGAACAGATGTGCAAACAACACTCAGGTTCTGAAACAAGACGTCAGTCCAAAGGTGGACAAACAACCAGAACAGTCCGCCGGAGTTTAGTCAGTGAACGTGAAGAAGAAAAAGAAGAGTTGGCACTTTTTCCCTCTTTCCAAACACTATTGTGCTATGAAGAGGTATGGAACTCACAGCCCATTGCGATGGCGACTGTGACTAGCAAGACCCACCTGTATTAAGAAAATGCGTCCATAATTATACCATGACTGTTCAGGACTGTTGTAACCAAAATTTGTATTTAACGTGTTTCTTCTAAAATGCTTAGATCTCAGCCCTTCTGCAGTCATTTCTTCCTTCATTCTTATTCCCATCCTGATTTGCCCCCATAGGACAACACAGTCCATGGCATTTTGTTCCCTGGAATACACCTCAGTACCTGTATCGTTCCTGCTAATAAAGTCCTGTTTGCAGGACACATCTTTATATTGTAGTAGAGGTCAGCCTCGACATCTTCTACCCATCTACCTTAGGTACCTCTAAATCAGCAGTACTCAGTTTGTGGTTTAAGAGGTAGCCAAGCATACCTTAAACTTTCTCTCTGACAGTTATTTCTATAACTATTTCTGTTTTCAGTAGTGACTGCTTACCAGTTGTGAACAGTTTGGTATGAAAGAGTTATGGAAGCTTTGAAACAGATGGAATTAAGATAACACTCAAAATATAAATAGTTAATATGAACTTGCTTAAGAACATAATGTGCTAACTACTCTTTTAAGGCCGAAAGCAGAAGAAGAAGAAGAAGATTTAGAACTTAAGTTGTTAATAAGGTGTCTTTATGGAAACAATACAATTCATAATCCATTCCATTCTAGAAAAACAAAAATCACAAACTCGACTACATTCAACCTGCTGTTAACAGCTTGCTGCCAGCAGTCTCCGGTTATGTTTGTCTCTTCTTCCGCCTTTTTATCCCCCAATGGAGCATAGGCCTTCAACCAACTCACACCAAGTCGTTCTATCCTTTGCCATTGCATGGAGCTCTCCCCATGTCCTCCCCATCTTTCTTACTTCATTCTCCAGCTCTCTTCTCCATGTGTTTTTTGGCCTTCCTTTATTCCAATGCCCCTGTGGGTTCCAATGCAAAGACATTCTAGTTATGCTGTTATCCTCTTTTCTCAGTGTGTGTCCTATCCAACGCCAGCGTCTTTTCCTCACCTCCTAGTCCACTGGAGCCTGTTTAGTTCTCTCCCAAAGCTCTACATTAGTTATTCTATCATACCATTTAATTCCCTCTATTCTGCGCATGCACCAGTTAATGAATGTTTGTAGTTTATTAGTAATTGCCTTAGTTGTTCTCCATTTTTCCGCCCCATACAAAAGTACTAATTTGACATTAGAATTAAAAATGTTTAGTTTAGTATTTCTTTTAATTTCTTTTGACCTCCACAAATTCCCTAGTGCTATGAAAGCTCCTCTTGCCTTTTGTATTCTCATTTTAATATCTCTATCAGTTCCTCCATCTTTATCTACATTACTGTCCAAATAGGTGTACGACTCCACGTCTTGGAGTGGGGTGCCATTAAAGGAAACCACATTACTATTTGCCTGATTTTTTTCTCATTATCTTTATCTTTCCTTTATGGATTTTCAGACCAAGCTGCTGTGACCTCGCATCTGTTATATTTCATTTATGTTGCATCTGATTCCATAAATGGGACAGAAGAGAAATATCATCAGCGAAGTGGAGATCATCAAGCTGTTTTATAGGGGTCCACTGAATTCCATTCTTGGTGTTAGCAGTTACTGTTTTCATAATCCAGTCTATAGCCAGTAAAAATATGTTTGTGTTCTGGTTTATTTACACCACTTGAGTATCTAAGATTGGGGTATGTGCCCCAACTCTCTGGTTTTTTGCTCCCATCCCAGCAGCTGGACTTCTGTGTCACAATGTGTTCCTCTTTTCTTCTTGATGTTTTTCCTTGTGGGTCATCCTCCATCCGGTTCATTCTGCTTATTATTTTGTCCAGTGTCTAATTCATAATGTTTAAATCACCACTAATTGCTGGCAGAATGAAGGCAAATAGACTGCGAGAGAAAGAAACACACACGCACACACAAACTGTACACAAGAGCATTGAATGGGAATAGACCACACGGAAGAGCAACAAGGCAATGAGTAGGTTAATTTACATGCTGACCTACAAACACTTGAAGTCACCAGCTGGTTAGAGAAGGTGAATCATTTCTGACTATAAGCTTTCTAATTAATGCAACCTGTGGTGGGACACGAAAGAGTTAAAAAAAAAATGGTATTGTCTGTGGAATACCAAGAAAGCTTGTAGTAAGTCCATTGATACTTTCCCATATGGTTTCAGGAACCCATTTTTGAGTTTAAAAAATGATAGACCCATTCATTGTTCTCTAACCAACTTATTGTACAAGGCAACAAAGAAGTTTGCTGAAAGGTGCAGTATTTGGATCTTATCTGTAAACTATAACCCGCCTGCCAACTACCCTGTTAAAAGCAGATGGGAAAAATTTAAGACTGAAAGAGTTAATAATTTTGAAATAGAAACGTCGAAATCAGTTTCCTGATTATATTATATTCATGTTCTTATCTTTAGGTGGCTCTTCAGATAGTGCTGTTGTCTTCATGCAGAGCAACACTGGCAGAAGTCAGAAGTTTCAGATCTTGTACAGAAATGAAGAGGTGGATGTTGACGATATTTTTGTATTCAGAATTCACACACTTGTGGATAGTACAAAGGTAAATATTGTTAATTAATCTGCTGAACTCTGACTAAGAAACTTAATTGGGGGGGGGGGGGGGGGGGGGGGTGGAACAGTACACATACACACACAAAAAATGTGATGTTTTGGCAGGGATTTTAAATGTTGAATTAAGAATCGACATCACAGCACTTGGAACACTTTCATAAGGACCCCATCCCCATCTTCAGCAGCAAGCGAAGAGTTCCACTTCTGATGATACCAGTAACTGTCTTATTGTATATCCATCTTGCCCTTCCCTTGAGTGTTGAACGCCTGCCATATCCCCTGGTAACTCCATGCAGTGCCATTCTCTTTAGACCGTAATGATCTGTATGTGCTTCCGCTCTGTTCACCCACTCCCAAAGGGCCCTCACAACATCTAGCTTTTCTAATCTTACTCCGTTTCGGTGGGAGTGTTTCTGAACAGAAACCATGACCGCACCAACTAGGGGCAAATCTAACTCGGTTTCGATGGGAGTGTTTCTCAACATAAACCATGATAGCACCAACTAGGGGCAAATCTAACTCTGTTTCAGTGGGACTGTTTCTCAACAGAAACCATGACAACACCAACTAGGGGCAAATCTAACTCCGTTTTGATGGGAGTGTTTCTCAACAGAAACCATGACAACAGCAACTAGGGGCAAAGTATCCTGGCCACCGGTACCTGAGTATATATATTATTCATCATCATCAATTAGCAAGTCCTCTGCAGAATATTGCTGTCTTCATGGCACGCTTGAAAGTATCCCTTTCCTTAGCCAGCTCTTCTGCTCCATGTGCTTTCAATGCCAATGCTTCTTCAGTGTCCTGTACCCATCTTCGCGGTGGTCAACCCCTGCCTCACCTTCCACATGCTGCACCCTCCATCACCGTATTTTCCAAGCCACCATGATATATATTATTACAAGATGTTATTTCTTCTTCTTCTTCTTCTTCTTCTTCTTCTTCTTCTTCTTCTTCTTCTTCTTCTTCTTCTTCTTCTTCTTCTTCTTCTTCTTCTTCTTCTTTTTCTTCTTCTTCTTCTTTTCCTTTCTTCTTCTTCTTCTTCTTCTTCTTCTTCTTCTTCTTCTTCTTCTTCTTCTTATTATTATTATTATTATTATTATTATTATTATTATTATTATTCTCCTCCTCCACCTCCTCTTCCTCATCCTCCTCCATGGCTGACGGTTTCGTATGCTCATGTCAGACCTTCAGGTCTCTACAGTCAGTAGTTACGGATAGATCACTTCCAGACTCAGAATCCGGCACTCTTCCTGTCTGGCAGTACTCCATAGAAGAAACGCTTAGTAATGCATGTGCCAAATAGAACAAAATAAGCAATGCATTTTGCAGTTTATTATCTATGTCCTTATTAATTAACTTTACAGTGTCTTTAATGTTTAATAATTGTTAAGGATTCACAGGCAAATTTTGAAACTGATTTTATATAACAAAAAAATTGTTTTTCTTACTTTTGAAGCAAGGATTTGTTGAGATTTTCTTGTCCCCAAAACCGATTATTTTCTTATCTCAATCTATTTTCGTTTTGGCTTTTGGGTATATCTTCCATCTGATGTCATTCATTCATCTTAATAATTGAATTTGTTCATGTTATTCAATGTAAGCTCTAAAAAAATAGTCATTCACTTTGCTTTTGGGAATAATACCCAGGATACAAACAAGGAGCGGTAATAGCAATATGATGAGAGTGTCAAATATAATGAAATCTGTGACAGTTTTGATTCGTTTTTAATTTGTGGAAATCCTAAACAAATCTCCTCCCAGTAGTGCTAAGAGATTAGACCAGTCAATCTTGTCTCTTAAATGTCCGTGAAATCAAAACGTTTTTCAAATATTACAAAAACTGTTGTAATGTCTGCTGATAAAACGGAATAGAATGAATTCAAGAAGGCCGAAGACTGAATAGAAATGTCTGGGTAGCAAGCAGCTAGTGTCAACAGTTATAAAAGAAAGAAGATTGTAATTTTTTGGGGTACATTCTAAGCCATGTGCAATGTCTGTGGCTTCAGCGCTGCGAGTCTGACTCGTAATTCCAACGTACCACGATCAAAATCCACTATTGGCTGCATGGATTTTCATCATGGTATGGGGCGTCGCATGTCGACCAAGCCTAAAATATGTACCAGGATGGCTGTCCTGGGAAAGTAATGACCGGCGTAATGCCGACCACATTACCCACCTAGTGCCTATGGTCTGTAAAAATATGGGCGCTCTTCCTATATATCCTGTACACCTATAGGCGTGAAAAGGGATCTTTGCTTTATATTCTAAGCCAAAGCAGACAAAGAATCACCAAACAGAAATTGAAATGGGAAATAGATACATTAAGGAGACAAGGCTATCCAAGAGAAACACTTCAGCGAATGTTAATGAGAAATGCCAGGGGTGCCTGACCGGATTCCTTACAAGATATTGAAAGGATTGTACAGGGAAAAACAGATGTGTCACATAGAAAAACAGATGTGTCACAGAGAAAAACAGATGTGTCACAGAGAAAAACAGATGTGTCACAGAGAAAAACAGATGTGTCACAGAGAAAAACAGATGTGTAACAGAGAAAAACAACAGAATAGATTAGGCATACGCTGCATTTTTTAAATTAAAGAATATCATCAGGAAGATAGCTTGAGAAGATTCTGTACAGCCTTTTGTCGTGGCATGAAATTGTGTCGGCACATGCCTGTTGGCAAGGCACTTGATGATGATGGTGATGATTATGTGTGATAATTTGGTAGCTTTTTTGTAACAGAAGTAATATCACTTTATTTGTTTTTGCATCCCACCAGCTGGAGAAAAACTTGGAGACCCTTGATCTGAGACTGGAGGTGCAATTGTGGTGTAATGATGATGATGAAATGTAAGTGTTCATAGTGTGTTATAACAGAAGAATTTATTTCGATTATGTAAAATAGTAGGAGAGGAGTGGCTGGCCAAGTGGTTAGAACACTAGTCTGTCATTTGAGAGTCCCGGGTTTGATTTCTATATATGTTGATGGATGTATTTATGTAGAGGCACACACACACAAAAATCCTCACCTGCACAGTTTGTAGCAACTGCTCTGGTAATACGACCCTAAATTCTGAAGTTCAAGAACCCCCTCCCCTTTTGTACTATACTGGCAAATAATGGCACGTAAAGAAAGTTTTTTTTAGCCTTGTTTACCAGTCTGAAGGCCTTAAATATTGTGGCAAATTGTCTTTTTTTCTTTCTTTATTTAAATTTTTTTCTTTTTAAATTATGTTGGTTTCCAGGTTTACCTTCCCTAAAATAGATCTGGGAAATTTCATGTGAAGTAAAGATGGCTTTATTAATGCTGATTACATGACCGATCCTGTGCGTTGGCCCTTACAAATATAGATCTCGCTCAATACACACGATGCTAAAAATATAGATCCAGCCTAAAAATATAGATCCAGACTCAAAATATAGATCTAGCCTAAAAATATTGATCCATCCTAAAAATATAGAATCCAACCTAAAAATATAGATCCAGCCTAAAAATATAGATTTAGCCTAAAAATATAGATCTAGCCTAAAAATATAGATCCTGTCTCAAAATATAGATCTAGTCTAAAAATATAGATCCAGACTAAAAATATAGAATCCAGCCTAAAAATATAGATTGTGCCTAAAAATATAGATCCAGCCTAAAAATATAGATTCAGTTTAAAAATATAGATCTAGCCTAAAAATATACATTCAGCCTAAAAATATATATCCTGCTTAAAATATACATCTAGTCTAAAAATATAGATCCTGTCAAAAATATAGATCCAGACTACAAATATTGATCCAGTCTAAAAATATAGATCCAGACTAAAAATATAGATCTAGCCTTAAACTATAGATCCAGCCTAAAATATAGATCCTGTCTAAAAACAGATCCAGCACCAAATGCCTGATGCACCAGTGGCTAGAAAGGGGTCTTTCATTCTATTTATTAATTTTTTTAATGCTGCATTTAAAAGGTTTGAAGTCATAAAGTCTGTATCAGCTGTACAAAATTATAATTATGACAATACTGAGGATGTTGCAGTCACAACAACTCTTCATCAGAAAACAAAACAAAAAACCCACAATAAACCCGTTTTAATTACTTTCATTATCATCTTTGTCAATTGAGACAAGAAAAAGAATTCTTAAATGCTATATAAATCTAATCTAGATGTGCGGAAGTGGGTAATTAGTGAAAACTTATTTGGAAGCTATGGAAATGTGGTTTTATAGACGAAATATGAGAATACGCTGGACAGATGGAGTAATGAAAATCTTGAAAAAACTCGACTCACAATGAGAACTGATTGCCCACATCCATGACAATCTACATTCTTTGGTCATGTGATGAGAAGGAGAAAACTGGAGTACATCGTGAAAGTAGGAAAGTTAAAGGGGAGGAGAGGTGGGTGAAGACTGTGAGAAAAGATGCTGGACAGTCTGACATCATGGCATGGAGGATCATCTGTGTCAGAGTTGATTAAATGTACACGAGTCAGAAAGTACACGAGACATGACTACCATGCCACACGGTATGGATTTAAAGAAGAAGAATGGCTTTCAGTTATTTTCTAGTGCCATCAAAGCTTCACTTGCCATTTGTGTTCTTTATTTTATGCATTTATTTTTGAGCAGATGCTGATGGAAGATATGATGTTAGTGAAATAACATATGTAAAGGTTGTCAGTTTGAAATTATATGTTGGTGTATGAGAGGAAGAGTATAGTATTGCACAACACATGTACGTACATATAGTTTTTAAGCCTTGGGTAATGTATTAAATTGTATGCTTCACTCTGTTTATTGATTAATCCTTTTATATATCATTATATATTTTGTAAAATGGTTGGGTTTTTTTAAGGATTTCTTCTGGGAATTCCCACAGGCTCATGACTCATTTTTAAATATTTGCAGGGTGAAAAGATTAATATATTTTCTTCAGGTATACCGTTATACAGTGATATCACTTTCTCAAATCAATTATCAGTAATGAATCTCTATCTCTTCTCCCATCTTTGTTGCCACAAAAGACGGTTGTGATTCCACTTTTGGACACATGGTTTCTTCAAGAGAGATTGGTTTGATCAGTTGTTTGAATGACTCTATTAAAGAACTCTTTTCATGCCTGAGGTGCATCTGGGGATATAGTCCCTTCTGGTTTTTAACCCTCATGGAGCCTCAGCCAGCTGTCATATAGCTCACATGGTGTCCTTCCCATCCTTGTAATTTCACTCTCTTATTTCCTTCTTCATATGTTTTGTGTGTGTGTAAATGCCTGCGCATGTTTTTGTGTGCCTGCCTGTTTATTTCTGTGACCCTGTGGGTTCTGGTATAAAGAATTCTAGACATATTATTGTTCTTGGGTTTTTCTCAGCTGCTAGCAACTTTTTATCTTTTTTTCATCACTTGATTCACTAGAATTTAGTTCTCTCCCAAAGCTCTGCATTAGTGATTATGGTATACCATTTTATTCCCTCTGTTCTATGCAGGCACTATTTAATGAATGTTTATATGTTTTTAACTTAAATTTGGGCATATGGTGCTAACTTCATATTTTTATAGACCAACTGACATACATTGGATGTTTTGGTCATCATTTAAACCCATTACCTGCAGGTGGCCAGGCAAACATGCTAGCCGGTGCATTACCATGGCTGTCATTGATTTATTCTACTTTCCTTTACTCTTTCAGTCCCTGATGTTTCAGAATGAATACTCAATATGGCAAATAATCATAAAAACATAACATTTAAAGTACCATTGTGGAAATGGTCAATGAATAAGCCATATTTTTTTAGACGACTGTGACCAAATGCAAAAAAAAGTGCAAGAACATAGTGATGGCTGGTTTTGACAGGAAAGAGTCAACCACACATTGTCATCATGTGCTGTGCCAGTAAGTGAAGATATGATGTTTTGACATCTCAAATGATCGCCAGAATCATGGATCATATCAAGTGTTCTTGGTTCACTTCATCCATATGGCTAGGCCATCCAGGTATTTATCTCTTTGCCCTCCCCTTACTTTTTTCCATCAATCTAGCAGGTCATTAACAAGTTCTCAGGTTCAGTCTTTATAATAATATCAGAACACATCAGGCATAACTTGATGCAGAAGTAGCTGTATAATCTATCAGGTGCTTCCATCACTTCAGAGGTCCCGGCTAGTTAGCATCCTCTGGATATTTTTTCCAGGTCATGCCAGAGTGCTGGGAAAAGAGCAGGCAAAAAGACTCGTGAATTGATGTATGACAAGCTGGATGTTGTGAGGGTCCTTTGGAAGCAAGTGAACAGTGCGGAGGCACAGATCGATCTTTACGGTCTGAGGAGAATGGCGCTGCAGAAAGTTACCTGGGGATCTGGCTGACGCTCAACACTCAAGTAAAAGGCGAGATGGATATACAGTATGACAGTTACTGGTGCCATCAGAAATAGAACTCTTTGTTTGCTGTTGAAGATGGGGACAGAGCACTTATGGGAGTGTATCGAGTGTTATGGTGTAAATTCTTTATTGAACATTCAGTTGCTTTCCTGATCAGCCACAGGTAGTTAAATCAAATTTTGTATTTACTCTGTTGGGACAGTCTGTTAAGACTCTGGTTTTTATTTCAACAGCACGGACCCTGAGGTTAAAATGGAGCTTGCAAGCACAAGAACACTTCTGCTCCACTTATCTCCAACCAAGGGACTGCACCATGCAGTTCCTGTTCTGTTTGATTACTTCCACCTGTCAGCCATAGAAGTTGTGATACATGGTACAATCATTGCAATACATCAGCCGTACCTCACGTGAGTGCTTTTTGTTTTCAGCTTATTTTTGATAAAGTGCTTAATTGAGTCACTGTATTCTCCAGGTGTGTTCCAGAGCACCATTTTGGGGTGTGGGGGAAGGAGGGAATAGACCTGCTGCCCCCACAAAGCATGTCATTAAAGGGGTGTTCTGAAATTGGTTTTGTTGGACCAAAACCACCTTTGGGTGGAAAGGGGGGGGGGGGGAAGAGGGCCTCATAGCGCAGAAGAAAAAGTCACTCTGTTCAAAACAGACCATGGTATAACATATAAACAGGCTTGGCTGAAACCTGGAGATCACAGTTTTCGTATGTAGAATGGGAGACTTAACTCAGAATTCACAGAATGGGTCTTGCTGATGACTCTGCCACATGTGGTTGTGATGCACCAAAGCAAACTCCAGACCATTGCTTAAAGGATTGCCCAAACCTTGCGAGTCAAAGAGAAGCAGTCCTGCAACCAAAACTGGTGCAGGTGAAGCCCTTGTATAATCATCTCTCAGTCTTGAGTTATTTCTGACAGAATGATTGTTTGGTTAGTTCTGAATCATTTAAAAGACTTCCTCTTGTAGGTTCTGGGGCCCCATTGTGAGGAAAACTAAAACAGACCCACTGCCTCCACAGAAGCATGTTGTTAGAGTAAACTAATTGAGAGCTTTCTTCGAAGTTGAAGTGCCTCTGCCTGAGAGGCAAGGGACCAACATCCTGCACACAAATGAGTAAGATCCGCATGCAACTCAGGTTCTGGAGCAAGACTACAGTCCAGAGGTGGATGAACAACCAGAATTTTCCGCCAGAGTTTACAGTCGGTGAACATGAAAAAGAGGAAGAAGATTTAAAAGACTGAATTTTAATCCTTTTAAACTTCTGTGATCTGGTGCTCTAGATCTGATGTTGTTTATGTGAGTAATAAATCATGAATTATACAGTATACAGCAAGAAAGAGTTCTGTAAGTTGACACTGGATTTGACACTTATCAAATGAGAGCGATATGATGTTCAAACGCTGTTGAATTGCGAGTCTGGTTCGAACATTGGTTTGGCCAGGAGGCATCAGTACACTGAGCATGCAAGAAGACTTGTCAGTCAACATCAGTGTGGATGTTTAGTTGTTGTTTGACAAGTGTCCATCTTTTCTAACAATAATGTTATGTTGTGCTGTATGGAAGCATCAGAATAACAGCACCTGATGATGGCAAGTATGACAAGCAAGTAGGGTCCAGAGGATCAGCACCATTGCACCAGATTTGATCCCATGTAGCTTGGTCTATCTCCGCAGAATGGCAAGCTGCATGAGCTCCTTAGTTCCCGCGACAATGCCAACTATCCGTCATCAGTATAAATGTTCGCATAAGAAGTGTGAATATATTTTAAGACAGAATAATAGTATCCCAGATGACTTTAAATATTCCCAAAATTAGATTACACATTATGATTATCATAATTATCTCAAAAGTACACTTACACTGCATTAACCTTATCAAGTTATACTGCTGTAATCTGTTAAATTAATACATAATCTATGCACTATAAATAACCAAAAGTAATTGACGAGCATAAATATCTGATATTGAAATATTTTTTTCTAAATCTCTGTGTATCCAGAACACAAGTGGGTTGAACAGGGTCTTCTTCTTCGCTTCCTATTTTTCCGCTTTGGTTGTTGAGGGAGATTTAAAGTTCTGCTTCTTGCAGCCTCGACCATAAAGTTTTTCTGATGTTATCTGTCCATCTGGTTTATGGTCTGCCTTGTGCTCTACTTCCCTATCCTCTTTTGATGTATCCTTTGTATGGTATGATGTTGGCAGATTCTCTTTAAGTGAGCACATCATTTTATGTTCTGTCTTTGTATGAAAGTTAGTACTGGTTCTGTGCTAACATTTTCATTTATTTGCTCATTCCAGAGTGTATCTATTTTGATCAGTTATGCAGCTTTTCTCACACTTCTTATATCTATGGTTACTAATTTTCTTTTCTGGCTTGTTGTGAGTGGCCATGTCTGGCACTGGTAGCATTGGATGATTGGGTGGGGATGACTGTGCTTTATATGAGATGTTTCTTTCTGCTGATTGGGACTGTCTTATACTGAAACTAGATATTTAAATTACTGCTACCACTATGATATGTTAGTCATAGGTTGTATGGATGGTTGGCAGCCTTCAGCCGGACACTCTCACAATTATCTTACGTTTCCTCTTCAGAATGCCCAAATCTCAAAAGACTGGGAAAGGCTCAGATCAGTCAACTCTGGAGGCAGTGTATTTTGGTCAAAAGCCGGCAACACCTGCAGGTGTAAGGAACATAAATCTCATATTTATCTGAAATATTTGTTTCCCTGGCGTACAGAGTTCTATGTGTCAACAAAGTTTCCTCTTTAAAGATCAGTCAGGTGTTCTGTTAAAATATTGGGTTAGCACCATGGATCCAATATGCCTAATGGTGAAGAAAGACATTCTTTATTTTACTTTTATTCTTGTGATTCTTCTTCTTCTTAGGGCTCACCAGCTGTAAACTCCATAAGCTGGAGAACTGCCTGGACCAGTGATTCCCAAACTGCGCAGGGGTGCCCCGGTAAGCCGCGACCTCTTCACAGAGGCGCTGCGAAATATTAGAAGATGCACACATTTTTTTTTTTTTTATGAGATATAACTAAGAGGTTGTCCAGTTTGTATTTTGGCTGCAGAATTGATCATCAGGATAAAAGTTGGCTGTCCAACATATGCTGCAGTACGTGTGCAGCTCATCTTAAACTAGCAACAGGCATGCTATGCTTTGTGCAGTCCCAGTGGTTTGGAGAGAATCCACTGATTACCTCAACAGCTGTTAACTTTTGCATGGTCCCTCCAGTTTGGAAAGACCCTCTACTTTTCTACTTACATATTAATAAACCACATTGTAATTTTTCTGTAGTACAGGCAGTTAGATTAGGCAACTCTGTACTTTACTACCTACATACCACTAAACCCCATTGTGATTTTCTGTGTTGCAGGCAGTTAGATTAGGCAACCCTGTACTTTACAACCTACATACCACTAAACCATATTGTAATTCTCTGTGTTGTAGGCAAGTAGATTAGGCAATCCTGTATTTTAGAACCTACATACCACTGAACCATATTCTTTTTCTGTGTTGTAGGCAAGTAGGCTAGTCAATGCTGTACTTTACAACCTACATACCACTAAACCATATTGTAATTCTCTGTGTTGTAGGCAAGTAGATTAGGCAACCCTGTATTTTACTACCTACATACCACTTAACCATATTCTTTTTCTGTGTTGTAGGCAAGTAGGCTAGACAACGCTGTACTTTAGAACCTACATACCACTGAACCATGTTGATTTTTATGTTGTATACAAATATACTAAACAGTCCTGTGCTTTACTACCTACATACTACTAAACCACATTGTGATTCTTTATGTTGTAGGCAGGTAGATTATGCAACCCTGTACTTTACTAACTACATACCACTAAACCACGTTGATTCCCTGTGCTATAGTTAAATAGACTAGGCATCCTGGTGCTTTAATACCTACGTACCACTAAACCACATTGATTCTCTATGTTGTAGGCAAGTTGATTAGACAACCCTGTACTTTACTACCTACATACCACTACTACACATTGATTCTCTATGTTGTAGGCAAGTAGAATTTGCAACCCTGTACTTTACTATCTACATACCACTAAACTACATTGATTCTCTTTGTTTCAGTCACCCATTAATGTGATCAGCAGCAGTGCCCGCATGCAGCAGGCTCACCTCATGCACAAAACAATATGCAACATTCTACTGAGTGCCCATGAGAGTCTCCAGGAATACCTGCAGCTGTTTGCTTCCATGGTTCCTGGAAACAGCTTTCTGTTGGGTCAGTACTCTTAGACATCTCAGATATGATTTACCTTACAGTGTTTAATTACTCTTAGACATCTCAGATATGATTTACCTTACTGTGTTTAATTACTCTTAGACATCTCAGATATGATTTACCTTACAGTGTTTAATTACTCTTAGACATCTCAGATATGATTTACCTTACAGTGTTTAATTACTCTTAGACATCTCAGATATGATTTACCTTACTGTGTTTAATTACTCTTAGACATCTCAGATATGATTTACCTTACAGTGTTTAATTACTCTTAGACATCTCAGATATGATTTACCTTACAGTGTTTAATTACTCTTAGACATCTCAGATATGATTTACCTTACAGTGTTTAATTACTCTTAGACATCTCAGATATGATTTACCTTACTGTGTTTAATTACTCTTAGACATCTCAGATATGTTTTACCTTACAGTGTTTAATTACTCTTAGACATCTCAGATATGATTTACCTTACAGTGTTTAATTACTCTTAGACATCTCAGATATGATTTACCTTACAGTGTTTAATTACTCTTAGGCATCTCAGATATGATTTACCTTACTTTGTTTAATTACTCTTAGACATCTCAGATATGATTTACCTTACTGTGTTTAATTACTCTTAGACATCTCAGATATGATTTACCTTACTGTGTTTAATTACTCTTTGACATCTCAGATATGATTTACCTTACTGTGTTTTATTACTCTTAGACATCTCAGATATGATTTACCTTACTGTGTTTAATTACTCTTAGACATCTCAGATATGATTTACCTTACTGTGTTTAATTACTCTTAGACATCTCAGATATGATTTACCTTACTGTGTTTAATTACTCTTAGACATCTCAGATATGATTTACCTAACTGTGTTTTATTACTCTTAGACATCTCAGATATGATTTACCTTACTGTGTTTAATTACTCTTAGACATCTCAGATATGATTTACCTTACTGTGTTTAATTACTCTTAGACATCTCTCATAATTCATCTTCTCCTGTTTAATTACTCTTAGACGTCTCAGATAATTTATCCTATTCTGTTTAATTACTTTTAGACGTCTCTCATAATTTACCTTCTCCTGTTTAATTACTCTTAGTCATCTCTGATAATATTTTCCCAGTTCTTCTTTATGGAGCAGAATTCTGGAAAATTATCAAAAAGGCTGCACACAAGCTATCCACCTTCCACCACACATGTCTACGTAGAATTATCAAAATTGTATGGCCAGATACAATCTCAAACACTAAACTACTTCAAGTCACAAACCAAGAAACTTTAGACAGTATGATAACCAAGAGAAGATGGAGATGGCTTGACCACGTTATGAGAATGAATCCTGATATACCTGCCAAAACAGCTCTCACATGGATACCAGAGGGAAAGAGAAAAAAAGGGGCACCAAAAAACAAGATGGAGATGAACTATGGAAAGTGACCTGAGTGCAGCATCTTGACATGGAATACTGCATTGAAGATTGCACAGGACTGAAAAGCCTCATGTGACACTAGGCATTAAGAGAACTGATGATGATCTCTGATAATGTATTTTATTCTGTTTAATTACTCATAGATATTTTACCAGATTCTGCACAGTTTACAAAGGTCTGTGTTGTTTCTCTTATACATCTCTCATAATTTATGCTATGTTCTGTTTTATTACTCCTACACATATAACCAAGTTCTGTGTTATTACTTCAGTCTTCTCTCATAATGTATTATATGAAATGTATTTAGTCCTTTACATCTTTCTATTTATCAAGTTCTGTGCCATTCCTTTTATGCATCTCTCATAATTTACAAAGTTCTGAGTCTTACTCCTATACATCTCTCATAGTTTACTACATCCTCTGCTATTACTCTTATGAGTCTCTGATAATTTGCTAAGTTCTGTGTTATTCCAAACTTTAATCATAATTTACCAAATATTGTGTTATTACTCCTGTACATTGTCCATAATTTACCAAGTGCTTTGTAATCATTCCTAAATATCTTTCATAATTTACTAAGTTCTGTATTATAACTCCAAACTTCTCTCATAATTTATCAAGTACTGTGTAATCACTCCTAAACATTTTTTATAATTTACTAAGCTCTGTATTTTAACTCCAAACTTCTCTCATAATTTATCAAGTACTGTGTAATCACTCCTAAACATCTTTCATAATTTACTAAGTTCTGTTTTATAACTCCAAACTTCTCTCATAATTTATCAAGTACTGTGTAATCACTCCTAAACATCTTTCATAATTTACTAAGCTCTGTATTTTAACTCCAAACTTCTCTCATAATTTTACCAAGTACTGTGTCTCTCATAATTTAAAAAAAAAACAATTCACATCTCTTGTAATTTACGAAGTTTTCAGTTGCTACTCCTTTACATCTCTCATAATTTACTACATATTGTGTTATTAAATTCATGGTAGAAATTGTGCCCTCTCTCAATAGTACGCAAAGACTGTCATACAAGACTCGGAGAAGCTGTGTTGAAAGTTCAGGTAATGTTTTATTTTTCACTTCATCGTTTCATTTTTAGAAGCCCCCCCCAAAAAAAAGTAAATGCTGTAACCTGTAGCCAGACACATTGTAAATGGCAACTAAATAGAGGTAATGTGGGGGATCAGTACCAAATCCTATAGTATCTGTTTGGTTATTGACAGCTTTTTGTCGTGGCTTGGAGGGATGTCAGCACACAAACTTATACATGCTATTAAAACTCGCAGATTGCAAAGAGGCATGATCCCCTATGCCAGTCACCAAGGCACTTGATGATCATCATCATCATTAAAACGAAACAAATCAAGCATGAATAGAAAGAGAAAATGTCCAAGATGAGAGGCAGTTCTCATGCACAATCACTCACACACACGCACACACATACACAGTGCTGCTGACATTATCACTGAGAGTTGCAGATAATTATAAAAGAAGCAAAATATTGGAAGGCTTAGCACAAGATAGTTGATCTTTTCCTCTTCAACTATTTTGATCGACCGAAAACTTCTTCTTCTTCTTCTTTTTCTTCTTCTTCTTCTTCTTCTTCTTCTTCTTCTTCTTCTTCTTCTTCTTCTTCTTCTTCTTCTTCTTCTTCTTCTTCTTCTTCTTCTTCTTCTTCTTCTCCTTCTTCTCCTTTTTCTCCTCCCCCTCCTTCTTCTTCTTCTTCTTCTTCCTCCTCCTCTTCCTCCTGTGTTCTACTTGTTGTAATTTCCTAGTTCTGATTGTTTGTTGTCAACTCCTGTTATTTGATCAGTTCCTTACTTCTGAGGCTCAAGCACTTTGACTTCAAAAGAAACAGTTATCCTACACCAGTTAGCCAGGGCCCCAGATGGGAACCTGTTTCTTGGATGACTGCAGAGAGATGGTCGAGCGGGACCACAACATTTGGTTTAGCATCTCAGCGTCCCATGACGAGTTTCAAAATCATCATCTTTTTCATCTCTTCCTCCTCCTCCTCCTTCTCCTTCTCCTTCTTCTTCTTCTTCATGTTCACCGGCTTCATGTTTACCAGTTATAGGAAGCGTCCCATCTTCTTTTTCTCTTCCTCCTCCTCCTTCTTCTTCTTCTTCATGTTCATCATCATCATCATCATCATCAGGTGCCTTGCCGACTGGCGTGGGCGATCATAATCCATAATCCGCGATCTCCTGCAGCATGTATCAGTTCGTGTGACGACACACCTCCATGCCATGCAACAAGACTGTCAAGCATCTTCTCTCGTTGTCTTCCTCTATGCTTCCTTCCACAGATCTTTCCAGTGGTCACAACATGTTCTATTTTCCCTCTTCTCATAACATGGCCGAAAAATGATGACTGTCTCCTTCTGATGTCAGTGATAAGTTGTCTTCGGTCTCCCGCCTCTTTTAAAACCTCTTGGTTGCTCTTTGTGGCTGTCCAAGGTATTCTCAGCATTCTTCTGTAAAACCACATCTCTGAGGCCTCCAAAAATTGTTTGGCCTGCCTACCGATTGTCCAGGATTCACATCCATATGTTAAAACTGGATGTATGTAGCAAGCAAGAATCTCTTCATGTTCACCGGCTATTAAACTGATGGAAAGTTTTGATTGTTCGTCCACCACTGGACTTTTGTCTTCCTCCAAAACGTTTTTACAGATATGGCTTTTTTATATGTAGAATATTGGGAGTGGCCGTGGTGTGGCAGCTAGATGCTCACCTGTAGATCAGAAGGTCATGGGTTCGGGTCCGACATTGCCAGACTTTTAAAAGAAAATGACCTTGGCTCCCAGGTTGACCCAGTCTTGAGTGGGTACCAGGTGCTGCCCTATGAAGTAAAGGCGGCCAGCTTGATGCTACCCACATCACCCACCAAGTGCCGATTGGTCTATATAATATGGGTTTAGCCCTATATGCCCAGTACACCTGAAGGAGGGAAAAAGGGTCCTTTACTTTATATGTAGACTGTTTGTTCTTTGCCTCCCAGGCAGATGCACTCCGACGATGAAAGAAACACCCACATTAGTCGACCTTCACAATATGCTTGTTAGGGAAAATTTTTCTATTCTCCCCCCCCCCCTACAGTGGGACCCCAAAACCCACACAGGGAATGGGGCCCTAGAACCCACTCAAGGAAGTTCCAAAATCAACAGGTAGGTGTTGGAAATCGAAAGAATTAATACACTGTCTCTCTCTCTTTTTTTTCCCTTCCTCTAGGGTGTGCTGGAAGAAGATGACTTGATCCAGACAGCAATAACTGACATCACCCAGCTGTGTGCTGAGAATGTTATCCTGTGGGCACAGTTTCTGGAAATTGTGTTGCGACAGACAAGGGTGCACCTGCATTTAGCCAAGGAGCATCACAATCAAAGGGTATCTGATTCCTGTCAATTGTCTTTATTATGAGTTTTGCTGCAGTTCTATTATTAGATTTATGTTTTTAAGTCTATGCTAAACCTGGTCAGAAAATATTATTAACAGGTATAACTTTTCTTCTTCTTCTTCCTCCTCCTCCGCCTCCTCCAAATAATGTGAGAGTAAATCCATTTTAAGTCTATGCTAGACCTGGTCAGAAAATATTATTAACAGGTATAACTTTTCTTCTTCTTCTTCCTCCTCCTCCGCCTTCTCCAAATAATGTGAGAGTAAATCCATTTTAAGTCTATGCTAGACCTGGTCAGAAAATATTATTAACAGATATAACTTTTCTTCTTCTTCTTCCTCCTCCTCCGCCTCCTCCAAATAATGTGAGAGTAAATCCATTTTAAGTCTATGCTAGACCTGGTCAGAAAATATTATTAACAGATAAAACTTTTCTTCTTCCTCTTCCTCCTCCTCCGCCTCCTCCAAATAATGTGAGAGTAAATCCATTTTAAGTCTTTGCTAGACCTGGTCAGAAAATATTATTAACAGATAAAACTTTTCTTCTTCCTCTTCCTCCGCCTCCTCCAAATCATGTGAGAGTAAATCCATGTCATTGGATGTTTTGAACAGAATTCTTGCATACTATATAGAGCTAGTTTTAAAATAAGTTTGTGAATCTTGAACAATTAAAAACAAATAAATTTCTTGAGGTGATATGGTTTTACATAAGAATCCTTAGATGTCTTGGACAGTCAGAAAGAGCAACCAAGATGTTTTGAAAGAGGCAAGGGCTCATATACAACTTATCACAAACATCAGAAAGAGACAGTCATCAGTTTTTAGTCATGTTATGAGAAGAAGGAAACTGTAACATGTATTGACCACTGGAAAGATCAGTGGATAGAGAGACAGAGGATGACATCGCGAGAAGATTCTTGACAGTCTTTTGTCATGGCATGCGAAAGGGTGAACACTCAAACTGTTGCATGCTGTTGTGTATCCCAGATTATGGAGGAGGTATAATCACCCACGCCAATCAGCAAGGCACGTGATGAGGATAACTTATTTGGGAATCATAGTAGCACAGAGGATAGATGCTTGCCTGCTTGTCCAAAGGTCTTGTGTTGTAATCTGCATCACAGTAGATTTTTTTTTTTTTTACATTTGATCTGGACTCCCAGCTCAGCCCAGCCTAAGATAGTTAGTACCAAGAGGTGTCCTGGGACATAAGGAGGTTGGTTTTCTGTTGACAACATCACTCATAGAGTGATGTTTGGTATATACAATTTTGTTGTCTAGTACTATATGCTCAGTATGCGAGTCGGTAAAAAGGAGCCTTGAAATTTATATATCAAGAAGATTGGCTAATAAACAGCATCTTGTCTTGGAAGCTAAGATATTTTAGTCATATCAAGCGAAACGGGAAATTGGAAAAAATAATAGCAAAAGGCATGGTACGAGGAAGAAGGAGCAGGGGCCAGCCAACACAAAGATGAGCACAGGATATAAGTGACTGCTTGAATATGAAAGTGAATGAGGTGGAAGAGCTGAAACACTGGAGTTTCTTTCAGGCAGACTATGATGAGTGTGACGTTCTGCAAAGGACCTGCTAAATTATGACGATGATGATGGTATATATTTTTTTATTATTTCGTATTGTGTATATTTATTTGAAAATAATTTATCTACTTTGCCATTTCTTCTTCTTTTGTTGGCGCAGTTAATGGGTTGTAGGCAGTTTTCTATATTTATCTTCGGCTTTCTCTGATGGTTTGAGTGGTTTTGTTCATCTCTCTCTCTCGTCTCTCTCTCTCTCTCTCTCTCTCTCTCTCTCTCTCTCTCTCTCTCCTCTCTCTCTCTCTCTCTCTCTCTCTCTCTCTCTCTCTCTCTCTCTCTCTCTCTCTCTCTCTCTCTCTCTCTCTCTCTCTCTCTCTCTCTCTCTCTCTCTCTCTCTCTCTCTCTCTCTCTCTCTCTCTCTCTCTCTCTCTCTCTCTCTCTCTCTCTCTCTCTCTCTCTCTCTCTCTCTCTCTCTCTCTCTCTCTCTCTCTCTCTCTCTCTCTCTCTCTCTCTCTCTCTCTCTCTCTCTCTCTCTCTCTCTCTCTCTCTCTCTCTCTCTCTCTCTCTCTCTCTCTCTCTCTCTCTCTCTCTCTCTCTCTCTCTCTCTCTCTCTCTCTCTCTCTCTCTCTCTCTCTCTCTCTCTCTCTCTCTCTCTCTCTCTCTCTCTCTCTCTCTCTCTCTCTCTCTCTCTCTCTCTCTCTCTCTCTCTCTCTCTCTCTCTCTCTCTCTCTCTCTCTCTCTCTCTCTCTCTCTCTCTCTCTCTCTCTCTCTCTCTCTCTCTCTCTCTCTCTCTCTCTCTCTCTCTCTCTCTCTCTCTCTCTCTCTCTCTCTCTCTCTCTCTCTCTCTCTCTCTCTCTCTCTCTCTTTTTTTTTTTTAATACTTCTTTGAAAACTCAAATAGACGAGTTAACGAAAAGTGCCACCTCAAATAAAGAAAATGTTCAATTTGACACTGAAGACGCCACAAAGGCGACTGTGAATAACGAAAACACTGCTAAGCCTGTTGAGAGGACTGCCTCTATTTATCCAATTGGGGTCAAAATAAGCAACAGATTTGAGGCTCTTAGTTTAGAAAATGAGCCACAAACTCCCTCTGTGGAACATCAGTCGTCTCAGATGTCAAAAAAAGATACAGACCAGCCTCGAGATGACAGTCGCCAGTGGCAGCACCAGCGCTCCCGACAGACCCGACAACAACGTGAATTAAACATTGACTCCAGTGTGTCACATCTAATTATTGGTGATTCTCTGATGAAGGGAATCTACAGTGACCGGATGTCAACAGATAACGAGACAGTGTTAGTTCATCCTCTACCTGGTGCAGATATAAATAGGGTGGCAGCGACATTGCGACGATATAATCCAAACCATAACGTTAAAAGAATCACTGTCCATGCCGGCATCAATGACGTTATGAACAATCAACCAGTTAGCACGTCTCATTTGTCCACATTGTTAGACTCGATGCGTAACAAATTTCCAAAATCATCTGTGTTTTTATCTTTTATTTTACCACCATCTTATGGATCTCAAAGACGTTTGGCAGATGCAGGTAACTCAACATTACAGAAATTTTGTCTGGAACAAAACATCACATTTATTAACCACACGCCTTACTTTACCTCATCGTCTGGCGCTCCTAAGAAAAAGTTGTACCGGGACCAAATACACAGTTCCAGATTAGGCAGTAGTATTTTGGCTAAAAATATCAAGTATCCACAACGTACACAATCAGCGCCCGGCACTGAAGTACCTAAAATCTCGCCTGTGGCAAACATGCATAGAAGGCAGTGCACCGTCCCTATCTCAATGTCAAACTTGTCTTCATCTCAAGCTCACATTCCTCTGCATCGCAGCCCATGTTCCATTCCTCAGGCTGAAAATTACGATGTTATGTTTCCTTCACTGCCTGTGAAGCAATCATCTTCAGTCAAATCTATGGAAACGCCCTTACACATGCAAGGCATGCCTCAAGCATCTGTTTCTAATGTAGGACTTACCAGTGTTGCTCAGAGTAGCCCCCCTTCAGTGCACACTAGTGTACACCCAGCCTACAACTGGAATTATGAAGTTCAGCATCTTATGCAGTTCAAACCCTGCAGCTCTACATCATGCCTATATGATGTCGCTCCAGCAGAGACGCTACCATAACCTGCCTAATCCTACGGCTACTTACTAGTGATTATAGTTTTAAAACCACCCTAACAATATCCTCCGTTTCAAAACCATCATGTTAAATAGTCGAAATAAGTGGCTTCAAAAAGATGGCCTCCGAATAGGTCATCTAAACATTTTTCATTTACTCGGCAAACTACCCGAGCTATCAATTAGGCTCAGTAACCAATTCCACGTTTTTGGAATTACAGAAAGTCGCTTGAACGACAAAATTAGTGACAACGAAATCACCATTGGTGGTTTTACAGTAATTCGCAAAGATGCAATAAGAAGATTAGAGACTGGCATAGCAGTTTATATTTCGAATTATCTCAAATATTCACGTAGATTTAATTTAGAATATGAAAAAAATCGATTGTATCTGGCTGGAGGTTAAGCCGTTAAACCAGCAGTCACTTCTCATTGGCTATCTTTATCGAAATCCAAGTGAAGACAGCAACTGGTATGACGACTTTACTTCTATGATGGACACAGTTTTTAGTGTAGGGAAAGAAATTATTCTTCTTGGCGATTTTAACATTGACATAAATAAACCTAACCAGACATGGGAAGATATCATTCTTTCATATAACCTCAAACAGTTAATTAACTTTCCCACTAGAGTTACAGAAACATCCTCAACACTAATTGATCATATATATGTCTCTCACCCAAAAAATATTATTGAATGTTCTGTCCCCGCTACGGCTATTAGCGATCATTATCCTGTATGCTGTGTATGGGCGAAAATTGGTTTTAAAACACCTAAAGATAAACATATCGCAGTTAAATTTAGAAATTTCAAAACTTTTAATCCTGACTCTTTTTTTACTAGATTTGCGAAATGCACAGCTAGACCATGTTTATCAGCTTCCTGAACCGGACGATGCTATAGCCTACTGGACGAAAACAGTATATAGTGTATTTGATAAACATGTGCCTATTAAAGAACTTAGAGTAAAACATCAAACGAAATCACCATGGATTACTAGCGAGGTTCTGGAAATTATGAGAGAAAGAGATACAGCACACAAGAATAAAAACCATGATCTTTTCTGTAAACTGAGAAATAAGGTAAAATATTTAATTCGTAAAAAATAAGAAAGATCATTTTAAAAAAATGATTACAGATAAAACAAATAATGCAGACATTTGGAGGGCTATCAACATCCTAACCAATAAGCATTCTTCAGATCAATCAAAAACAAATTATCTAACGTGTGATGATTTTAGTTGTTTCTTCAAATCAGAAATAGAGAATTTAAAGTCCACAATACCAGACTCACAGTGTGACTTAA